TATCGCTCTTGTATGCCCACATCCTTTGGCAAGGGGGGTAGCATGCAATCCAAACCTTGAGCTATAATTAGGAGTTGACTAACAAATATTCTCTGCCTGGTACTTATGTAAAGACGTTTGTCACGCTGGGGGTGGCAGGGAGTGGATGGAGGAGCAATTTCATTACTGGGGCGCGAATCAGAACACTGCAGGCACATGCAGCAACCAGCACTCTCCGAGGCAGAGGGTGGCATTGCTCAATCCCATTCTCTGGCTCTCCGGGAGAAAGCTGGCTGGCTGTTGGCTTCAAGTCCAGGATTTACTTGCAGCTAGGCCAGTTACGCTGCGTAGTCGCGTTCGTCAGACGTGCCTTTTGCGGCCGGAGCCTGTACTGGCACCGAGGTGTTAGCTAAGGCACTGCTAATTGTCGTCTTCCTCTTTAGGAGCAGAATAAATAAACGAAGCTGCTGTGTTGTTGCTGGCTATGTGCGGTTTATTTTCAGCCAGGAAGCCTCCTCCTGGGAAAAACGTGTTGCATAGGAGCACAGGCCTTAATTACAGCAGCAATACCTGTATTGCGCGCGTTGCCCTAATCGGAGTTGACCTAGCTCAGGCAGTCGCTATGAGCAATCCCCCTCTGCCTTGATTTGCTACGTGCCGAGCTGTGCGACACGCGGCCTCGTTCTTCGGTGCTGTTGAAGTGAAGAACAATGGTAAATGTTAAAGGGTTTGGGTACGGGGAGGTGGTCAGAGGGCCCCTAGTTTAGGAAACCTGGGGCCCATCCCTGGAAGTGTCCAAGGCCAGGCTGGATGAGGCTTGGAGCAACCTGGTCTAGTGGAAGGTGTCCTTGCCCATGGCAGGGGGCTTGGAACTGGATGGGCTTTAAGGTCCCTTCCAACCCTAACCAGTCTGTGACTGTGAAAATGTGTGGATTCAGGTGAAAGCTGAGGATGTGGTTTCATCTTAGCAAAGTGAGCCGAGGACTTATGCTGTTGCTTAAAATAAACTTGCCTTTTTAAGTTACTTTTGTTCTGTGGCCCACTTTAAATGCTCTCCTGGGGGAAAGAAGATTCTGCTGATAAAACCTTTTTTTTTTTTTTTTCATACCCTTCCCACAGGTAAACTTTAATGGTGCTTCCACTTTACAGTGTCAGAGACAGGAGGCACTCATAACAAAACTGTGAGGTCCTCCAGTTTGCCTTTCTATTTCTTCCCCCTCCCCCCTTTTTTTTTTCCTCCCCGAAAGACTTTTTTGAGTCCTAAAAACCTGAAGCCGAGGAAATGCTGTTCTGGCAAAACTGCAAAATCTGCTCTTGTTAGCTTTGGCATTTTCCCCCCTCCTTCTTTCTCTTCTGTCATCTGGGACAGAAGAGCATTACTGCAGTTAATTTGTCCTCTTTTGTAGTGGCATAAGTGCTATCCCTGGAACCAGCTCAGCTACCTAATGGCTTTTAGAAATAGAGTACTAAGGATGTATTCCTAATCTGTGGAGCTCAAAATTCAATATGTAAACTGCTTGGGTTGCCAAGTGCATTAATATCAGGACAAATGAACACTGCAATTCCTAATGATAGCAATTAGTATTTTATCTGATACCTGCCTCTGTCTTAATGCTCTGAGAATTAAAAGCAAATCCTCCAGTGGAGATTTTTTTTCCCCCCATGCTTTTTAGTGTACTCATAAGTCGGGCTTTGAAACTGCTTTAAAATAATCCTGTGTCTTGTGAAGCTTTTGTGGGGGGGAAGGTTCTCTAAAGGAAATAAAACCAGCTTATCTGCTCTCCTATAATGGGAAGGGAAACCTTTATATTTCTTTTTTTGACGTCTTCACAAATAAGCAGTTTATTGTCTTACATGAAACTCCATCCTGTGGATAGGCTTAAAATCAGGCCAGCTTGTTGTCTTTTGCCCAGCCAGGGGTGCGGTAATAGCAGGGGTGAATGGATGCTATAATCCCGCAAAGCTGGAAGTGCATCCCTCCTCACGGCGAGCGTTTCTTTTGGCCGAGATTGACTAGAAATAAGAAGAAAAACCTCCAACAACCCTGTTTTTACCCTGTTATGAGTAGCTCCTTCAGGGCTGCAGGGGAAGGGGTTCAAATGAACTTGGCTGAATGTAAGCAGTGTATTTATTACCCCCGCCTCCTCCCCGTGAAATACGGAAGCGGTGGAGGACCGCGGCAGCGAGGCTGCAATCACACACCATCGGGTGTAATAAAACCAGAGTACGCTTGAATGCGCCCTCCTGAACGCCCTATGGTTTCTCTGGGATCAAGTTAGTAGTTTGGAAAGGAGAGATCTTTCGTGTCTTGCTGGATACTTTGGGGCAAAGAGGCACTTTGAAAACACTGTGTGCTTAGTTAGCCAGGGAGCCGAGAAATTGCGTCTCGTTGCCAACTCATCTTCCGTGCCAATTTTCAGGGTTTTTTAAAATCTCTCTTTAATATCCTCGTGAATTGCTCTATCTCATCCTTCCAAGTCCTGCAAGGCTGAAGTGACTGAAGAAGGAGAAAGTGAGGAATACTGAGGAAACTTGACCCTGTCAAATTGTATTCGTGGAGCAATCTCAGATTGTAAAGAGACTCTTCAGTGGCTGAGAATTAACATCGTGAAAATCTTCTCTTATTTGTTCCAATCTTGGACGTGCTGTTGAGGTACCATACCTCCGTCTCGGTGTGCGTGCTTCTAGCTTGGGGTAGACCAAAGGTAAGGTGTTTTTTCTGCCTTGCCTCTCAGTAATGGAAAAGCGCGCAGTGGCACGTGGCCTTGTTTATGCGGTAGGATGTTGCTTGTTCATCTCTGATGTCTCTTACGCACCTGAGCCTTTTTTGCTGGTAACATGGCTGAGAAAATACCTTTATGCAACAGCACGCTGGGGTTACTGCGGCGTCCCGCATCGCGTGCGCCCCCCGTCTGCGCTTTGCTTGGGATCGCCTCAAGCTCAGAGCCTAGCAGCCTGAATTTACAGACCAGAGCACTGGTTTAATGGGGGGAGAAAAAGAGGACAGCCCACTCTCTCTTTGATGCTGCGGCATCTTCTTGCCATCAGTTGAGAACAGCTATTGAGACATCAGCGCATTAGTGGCTCTGTTCCCATCCATGAAGTGCAGTTCCAAAACCGGATGATATCCGGGCATTAGCTCCTAGGCAGTGAACCAAAGTTGCTGCTGTTGGTTAAACACGCCTTTCCAGGGTTTTTTCAGAGAAGATTGTGCAAACTTGATGAAACTTAAGTACCACCCCTTGTAGTTGAAAAAGGGTAGCTCTTCCCTTAAATTCTAGGGTTAAAGCAGCTTTGTGGTGACTGGGTTGGAGGACTGGGCACTAGCTAGTACACTGCCTAATTGCAGTGGGTTCTGTGACTCTCTTGTTTTCAAGGCTGAAGGAGATGGTGTATTTTTAAATCACCCTTTGCCAAGAGGCAGGGTGCTAATTTGACTTCTCATAGCTTAGTGCTGCTCCTTCTAAGGAGACCTGGTTTTGCCCTATTCAGTCCATGCCCTTCAGCCTATGCTGGGAAGTGGATGATATTAGTCCTCTGCCATGTTTTGCTGGAATTTTTTAGCTTTATGTTTGTGTTGCTTCAATATTTTTAAGGTCTCTTGCATTATATTAATTTTGTTGCTTTTCCAAAGTAGTGCCTATTGGTTAGCTTTTTTTTTTGGTAAGGAACATTGCCTTTTTCCATTGTTTATTTGGAAGAATTTTGGTATGTGGTGTGTTTTTCGGGCTGCTTGTAGCCTTTCCAGTTGTGTTGAAAGGACATGTTACCCCTAAATGTGACCTAAAGGAAAAAAAAAATCAAATGCTGCTTCTGTTGTTGACTTGACCCAGAAGTGAGGTGTGTAAATGGTGCGGAGAAGGGAAGTTTTAGTAGCTTTTAATTTAGTGGTTTATTTGTGTCCGTCTTTGCAAGCTGCTCTGAACCCACCAAGAGTATGACAGCATAGGTATCGAGGATGTATTCCTTTTGAGGCTTATTAACAAGACTTTTAAAAGGGCCTCTGTAGTTTCTCTGTTTGGAGGGTAAAGCTTTGCAGTGCTGAAGGTCCCCCTCCTGCAAACTCTGCAGCAAAACTGGGGAAAACTGGGCTTGGTAGTAAATGAAAAGGGGAGAAGGGATGGGAAGAGCACTCTGGGAGCAGCTGAAGAAACTTCAAAAAGGCTAAAGTAAAATGCACAAGCTTTTGTTTGCAACATGCAACAAACTCCCTGTATACTGATTTTTGGTCATAGCTCCAGACAAGGTGTGGTTACCTGGATTTGTCTCTGGAAACCTTTTTCCAGAGAATTGTTTTGCAGACCCGTGTTGTGGGGGAAAATGGCCCTTTTCCCCTTGTGTACATCCATTTTCCCCCACCCTGTTTTTCTAAGACTCTTCAGGAGTGTGCTTTGAAGTTTATTGCTTAGGTACTTGGGCTCTGTCCCGAGAGTAATTGCTGGTTTGACATTGTAATTGTTCTTGCATCAGTTTTTTGGGGTTTTCTTTGGCAGCAACGGTGTGTGTCTGTTCTGTTCTGCTTTTGTACGGAAAGTACTAATTAGTTCTTAAACTTAGGGGTTGCCAATACTTAGATTTCCTTCAAAAATCCAGCCCTTGGTACTTAATAGACCTGTTTTGGTGGTACCTGATGAACCGTGGCTCCTCTGATGGATGTATTGTAGTAATTCAGTCTTCACCTAATAATTCCTTGGAAAAAATTACTGAGGTTCACACAGTTGCTTCTCTCGGGCCATGGGAAGATCCGGTGATTTGGAACTGTGAAGCTTGCACGTCTTGTCTGCCCTCGGCTCTGCTCTCTGGCTGTCTGAAATATCTCAAGATGTGTATTTATCGGTAGCTCTTGACTGGAAATGAATGACAGCTATGTCTGCCCTGCTCTGTCTTCAGGAATTAAGGAAAGCATGGGGTCTGCATACTGAAAAACACCTTTTTAACAGACTGGTAGACTTATTGATGCCCTAGTTGTGTGCATTTGAATGTGTCTTGATGTCAGTCTCACTTTCCTTTGTGCAGGATGCCATTATTCCCTACAAGGAGATCCTCCAGATGTATTGGGAGAAAGCAACGAGCTTTGTGAACGCACTGTGCGATGGACTTGAACCCTGGCAACTGGTTGGCTTGACTTTTTCTTCTACGCTTATCAGTGTATGGCTGCATGGCTTCCTCTTCCAGCCCGAGAGTAAGTATTTGAACGGGGGGTTTTCTTATGTTTGAGGGGAAGGGAGGGGGGACAAAGTTGTGCCAAAGTAGTGGAGGGGAAAAGGATGAAACAAGGCCAAAAACTTGTTAAAACAGGCTGCCTTCTGTCAACCAGTACTAATAAAATCCTCTTCCAAATGAAGTTCAAGGCCTGTCTGATCAATGGAATACCTCCATTCCTTCAGAGGGTGTGGTAGGCCAGCCTGGAATGCACCTGCACCTCCTTCCCTTCCTCTCCTCTCCTAGTTTGCCTTTGGCTAAGCCATTTACTTGTGTCAAATCTCTCTTCTTGCTCGTAAACCTGGGCAAATTTATCTGAGAGCTGGGTTCTTGTGAACTTAGTCACTGGTGAAAAGTGTCTGGCTAACTCTTGCCCTTGATGAGGGTTTGCCTTCCTGCTGGGGGAGGAGACATGGTTTTGTTTATGTGTCGGAGGCATGTTTCATCCTTGCGATGTTTGGGATAGTTGCATGTGGTATCATTGTGTGGATTTATTTATTTATTTATTTATTATTTTTTCCGGAGCATCTTCCCGTTTTGAGCCTTCTCTGATATTGACAGCTCTTTGATGAGATGTCTTTTGATGAACCTGCAGTTTTCTCTGGTCAGAGATAACTACCTTGAACTTAGAGGAGAACATGGTGTTTTGCAATTCCCACAGGCCTTAGGGTTACAGTCCAGTGGCCATTTGTTAAAAACAGATGGTTTTTTAACTTGTTTACTTCTGTGCCTCTCTGATCCTCAACCAACCTTCTTTCTTTAAAAAGACAGGAGTTGCTGAATAGTGGGAGTGTGAATGGAAGGAACAAAATGGAGTGAAGCTCTTGCTCGGTACAGAGTTATGCTAGCTTATTGGCTGGTGTTTGCACTGTTGCACAGTATTTTTTTTAAGTTTTGTCTGACTGTTGTAAGACCTGATTAGACTGTCTGAATTTTTCAGGCGTTTGCAGTCTTCTCTCGCTGTGGAAGTTATTAATGAAACAGTGAACACACCGCAGCATGCAATAGAAATGTTGTCATCAGCGTGTTAGCGAGTGTCTGCTACAGAGTGTGCCAAATGGCTGTTACTGTCCTTCTGTAGCTTTTAGAAATATGTATGAAGTGGCTGGGAAAACGTAGATAAAACTGCAAAAAAAGGTAGATAAACTGATTTTTAAAAAAAAGTTTGTTTAGTTATTTCTTGGTGTAAGTGTCCTGCAACTGCTAGTGCCGAGTTGAAATGCCTGTAGGGCTCAAAAGGCATTTTTGATGGCTATGAAGCATCTCTGTCATCCTGCTTTCATTCCTGCCTTTAGAGCTACCCCGGGAGTTTTCTGGTGTTTGTCATCAGCGGTAATTGGACTGTGATGGAATTTCTGCTCTTTCCAAGTCACCTCCTGTTGCATCACGCGTTTCCTATATCGGATGGCCAGACACGGGGCAAATCCTTGTCACGTTACAGCTGAACTGTTTCCTCCTCTGCTCCAGGACCCTGTTTCATGTTGCTGAGTATTTCCATGTCACAGTACTATTCTGCTTTGAAGAAGCAGAAAATAGTTTCAAAAAGTATTTTTCCTTGTTGCTGGAGACTTCCGTTAGCAAATCCTAAAGTCCTCTTTCCTGTAAAATTCCGCACGTGGGTGGAAATTCCTGTGTGAGAAAACGAGTCAAATTATTGATTCCCATGGATGGCTACTGTTCTGGGAGCCATGTGCTTCTGTAGCCTGGTCTGCTTCTGCACCGTGCACTTTGATCTGCTCGTCTGGCTCGCTGTGTCCCCTTGGCTTATTTTAGCCTGGGTCTGGAATACTGAGCCTGTATCAGAAGTATTTTGCTCCCAGGCTGTGTTTTTTTTGTTTCTTCAGTCATCTTAAGTTAATTTCTGACTCTTGTCTTTCAGGTTTAACATCCCGAATTAAAAAACAGTTCTTTAAACTGCTGAGAAAAATGCCATTTGTTGGGGCTATAGTAAGTATTTGAACCACTTTTCTTAACATTACCACGGTTCCTTGTTTGAGCCTGCATAGCTCGCTCTTGGAGGCCTTAGTCCTGGGCATCTCATCGTACTGCGTTCGTAATGATCCAAGGGTATAGATCTGAAAGGTCTTCTGCTGCCACCTGCTTTAATGAAAGATGTAATTTCTACCTAGTCGTCTTGTTGTAGGATCACTCATAAAATCAGAGGTGCCACGGTTTGGTGTATGTTTTTTTTACCCAAGAATCAGTGAGTGCAGTTACAGAATTTCCCAGTAACATTTGCTGCTTGCTGTATTGTAAGAAAAAAACTATTTATGGCAGAAGAAGGGGACAGGATAGAACTTGAGTTGTTCTTCTGAAACAATGTCTTATTCTTGCTCAAGAGTGAGATAGCCAGGCGTTTGTTGTGCAACGTGGAAGGATAATTTTGTTCATCAGATGACTGGCCATGATTAGAGCTCAGATATCTGTTAGCAATAGTTAGCGTTATAGCACAAAGGTATCAGAAGCTTGTGTAATTGTTAACATGAGACGAGCTTTAGTGTTTGGGAGGTTGTTTTATTTTGCAGGAACCTTGAAACTAGAAATGTCGGCATGTTTTAGCCCATTAACACCTTAATGATTGAGAAATGCACAGCTTTGTTTATTTTACCTAGTAAACGGTGGTATCGTGCTTGATGAGTGCCTTACCTTCTCGGGGCTAGCGCTGTTAAGCTCTCCTGTGCCAGAGACATTCCTGGTGTGTCCTATGCGTGTACAGTTTCTGCTCTTTAGCAGGCTGATACCTGATAACCTATCAGTTCCCTACAGGAGGCCTTGACTTTGAGGCATTCCAATGTCCAAAAGTCTTCAAAGCTGATGATACAGTAACACCTGAGTTGCACAGAAGAAGGGTGTCTACTTTGGAATGTGTTGTGAGAAAAGTCTGGGCCTCCTGAATTGTAAGGGGTGGGTGGGAGGAAAGAAATCTCCAAACTTATATTGTTTCTGTCTGTTTTCATGAGTTTCTAAACTGTGTGCATGATGGCAGAGGAGACAAGGTACAAAATCGAATGCATTTGTAGACTCCCACAAATTAAAAACTGTGACTTGGAAAGGTTCGGTGGATAAAAATGTTGTATTTCTGTCCATAAGCCTTGTTTTCTCAAGTGCTAAGGAGAGGGCTCAAGGCAAGCACTGCTCGTCGGTACCCAGTGAAGAACATGCTCTGTCTGTGTGTTGTGGTGGTGGTCTCTGCTGGAAATGAAACGCAGCCAAGCAGTGGCCTGAGTGCCACTCAGCAGTCGCTGTAGTGCTTCCCTGGCACAGCTCTGGGCCAGCGAGCATTCCCATAGGCAATTCCCGGTGTGGTTTAGACTAGCACATGCCAGTTCACCATTCCAGGCAGCTGGGTTTTGGAGGGAGAGGTTGGTAGGAAGGAGGAGTTGAGCTGTGTGGCTGCCGACTTTGCTGCTTTTTGGCCACAGAGCTGAAACAGTTCCCATCTATTCCGCTCAATATATGGATGGAGCGAGTGAGTTTGGTCTTGCGTGCACTCAACACCTATTTACCGTATGGCCAGCACCATCATTGATAGGGTTTTCCTTTCTTTTTAGATCCAGAAGAAGATTGATGAAGCCTTGAATGATGTCACTTCCAATTTATCCTTCCTGAAAGATGAAAAGGATTATATCAAAGCCCTGCCGGAACAAGGCATGAGCCAGTCTGAGGTTCTGGAGAAGATGAAAGAATACAGCTCCAAAGGTACGAACGCGAGTCTGTGCTGCAGCAGAGGTGAGGCTGTGCCATAGCCCTAACATTAGACTGGCTCTTAAGTGAGATCTGATGGCTCCAGCTCATGATCTCATCTTAAATATTTCTTCCCTGTTGCTCTTTGCTTGCAGATGTTTGTCTGTTTTCCCTCTGGAAGTGACTAAGACCAGTATTCGTCACTTTTATGCTGTATTTTGGTATTTACAGTGAAATTCTATTCCTTTTCCAAGAATTCTAGGCTGATGATGGGAGAGCTGAGGAGAAGAGAAATTTGGAGGAAATTGAAATTCGACTTTTACCAGAAATATGTTTTCTGGGAGGCCCCGGGGAATACTCATAATAAGAACAACTTCCAAGCAGTATTTCTAGGGATTTTCCAAGACTGTCTGTCTTAATTTGAAGTCATAGTGGTTACATTGAAAATGCCACTTAAGGAATGGGAAGTCATGGTGGTGTTCTCCTGGCTTGAGCCGACAGAAGAGGTGTCTGAAACTGGAGTTGCCTCACTGGTGTAAATATCTCCTCCCTCATTCATGTACCTACAACTTGTAATGAGCAAATTTGGGTGGCTTGCTGTCCAGTGGAGATATGACTGCCCTGCTCCTATCCCAAATTTGAGAAACGCCTTGAAATTTCTGCTAGAACAGCACATCTGCTCCAAATCCAGCAACAGTTTTGCAGTCGAGTATCCTATAACTTCCTTCTTTTCTACTTTCATGTATTGCTTATGTGGCTTCTGTCTGTGTTCTCCCTCAAATGATTATTTCCTTTCTTCCCTGGGCAGTTCTGACCTTTTTTTAATTTCCTATCGCCCATTCCTTCCCACACACGTGCACTCCCCTTTGGAAGTTGCTTGGAAATGAGGGTTGGATTGTGACTGTGTTCACCTTAACGTGCTTGTGAAGCTGATGCCGGTGAGTTTTATGAAGGAGGCTAACAGGAGAGGGAGCAAATAACCAAACAAGTGGAAATAAGCTTCTAGGGTGTTTGGAGGCAGAAAGTTACAATTACCATCATGTTGGGCAGTGGTTTGAAAGACTTTTAAACAGGTTGTGCTGCTGCTACTGTCCCACCCGCCTCCTCCCATTTGTTAAAGCTTCGGCAGCATATGGTTTTAGGTGAAATTCAACCGAGGCATCCGGCAGTGTAGGTTTTAGCCACACAAGCTTGGCCTTTCCATCTCTTCTGGGCTTACGGTAGGGATGGGTGCTCTTTGAAAGTGGCTTTAACTCTAGCCTCTTTGGAGTTCAGTTGGTTGGACAGCAGTTTGGGGAGACTGAGTGAGGATTAAGTGGATTACATGTTAATGTAAGTGCTTGCTGCAGCTAGATGTTGTTTATGTGCTGACTCTTCAGTCATCCTTTACTTGCAGCTTGCGAAGTTCACGGGATACACGATGCCAGGGGCTTAGCGTCACGCACGGCTGGCTCCGTGGCACAAAAATGGTACTCGTTCCTCGTCAGTGAGGTCTCAAAAGCTGAATCCTCAGCTGTGGAACTGGCAGGGGGGCTTCTCTGCAGACTTGTACACGCTTTCTGAGAATGGTGGTGTCTGCAAGCAATGTGCCCTTCCTTCTCTTGCAGGAGACGTGCGTTGGCAGGATGGGAAGGTCTCTGGGACTGTGTACAGCGGTGAGGAGAAACTCACCCGTCTGCTAGTGAAGGTAAAGTGCAAGCAGCCTAACTTTGCATCCTTGCGGGCATCCTTAGCATCTTCAGGGTGACCAGAAACTCCCCAGAACTGTTCCAGCATCTTTCAAAATAAACAGGGAAGACCTGAAACGAAGACTGCCCAAATATGAAGACAGAGCCTAGGGAAAATGTAGGTGGAAGGGGAATTATTAGCAAAGCATTTAGGCCAAGTGACTGTCCCTGTGGAAACACCAAATAGACACAACTAGGATCCAGTCAGATGAGAAGCTGTTTTGATTAAGAAAGTAAGAAGCTGGTTATGAGGGAATGGAAACTGGTGCTGTCCCTCTAATTCAGGGAATGGTAGGAGGTATAAAATTACCCTAAATCAGCCCTGACAGACGTGCTTTTGCTGGAGGATGGAGTGAACGCATCCCTTGCTGTGGGATCCCATCCCATCCCTGTGGAACTTCAGTTTGCTGTGGGATCCCATCCCATCCCTCGGAGGCTGTGGAACTTCAGCCTGGAACAGCTTTGCTGAGTAGAACTAAATTCTTCTTGATTTAAGCAAAAAAGAAGTTTGTAAAATGTTTTTTGGCAGTCCAGATCTTGTGACAATGGAGCATTGGCATGCTTCAGTGGTGTCTTTGTTAAGTCTGTTTACCTACTCAGGGACTTCTCCCTTGAGAGGGTTGGAAAATAACCTAAGCAGCCCAGAGGTCTGTTTTCAAATATATCTACTTGAAGAGGGTTTTTTTTGCTAGAAAGGGGAGTCTGGCCACCTTGCTCCTGGGAAAAGCTTTTATAACAGCTGTAATGAGCTCTGTTTGGTGGTTGCTATTGGTGTTTTCTGCTCGTTGACATTTTCTTTGCCCCTTCTGGGGAAAGCTCAGAGCAGCCTTTCTGAGGGGCCTCAGCTCGGATTGAGTGTTGTGGAAACATTCCCTCTCTTTGTACTGATTGTTTGCTGGTTTTTCTGCTGTATTTCTTTTAACATCCCTGCAGTTGCTTTTTGATCCTGACAGCAGGAGGTCAGAACTGGCCTGTTCCAGCCTTATCCTGGGAGCCTGCAGTTGCAGAACGAGCATGAAATACTTCTTTCCACGGCCACTTTTGTTGCGGTGTGGGTGGGCAGTTGAGCTTTTCTAGCTCCTTCAGAATTCCCCTTTACTACTAAACATGAAACCTGGTTCTGCAAAGGACGGTGTTTTTTTTGCCTACTCTGTGTAAAGCAATCATAGGGTGCCTATTGTGTTTGGGTTGGTTTTTTTTTTTTTAAATAGCTAAACCTGTCTTTACAAAAAGATATATTGCGATGTTATAGACTCACTCCAGGGGCCAGAATGCCCTAGAAAAAACAAATGAGGTTTAGTTTTTCCCCCTCAGCCATAGCTCCCCAGCTTGTGATGTTTACTTGCAGTTAGGACCGAGGGGATCTGCAGTATTGGCTACGGCTAAACGCAGCTACTTTGCTTGCACAGCATGTGTGGTGTGTTGCCAAATCCGCACTGATAGTTCGGTGCTTCATCTGCAAGGCTAACATTCTGTCTTTGTTTTCTGAAGGTGTATGAAGAGTTTGCCTGGAGTAATCCTCTCCATCCGGATATATTCCCTGGTTTGAGGAAGATGGAAGCGGAAGTAGTGAGGATTGCCTGTACGCTCTTCAACGGGGGCCCCAACTCTTGCGGTGCTGTAAGTAGCCTGGCTTCAATTGTCCTCTGGACATTTTTGGATATGTCTGACTTCAAGTATTAACACACCTTCTGCTGTCGCTCTGAGGCTGAGGTCAAGCTCGTTCTGGTACGTGCCACGCCAACGAAGCTGTACAGAAGACGGTTGCTAATTGCTTTTCTGGCTGAGGTTGATGAGAGGCAGTTTAACTCGGGGAAGTGGTTCTTTAGACAAGACCATTTACTTCAGCTTTTTTTTCACACTCCTAAATGGTGTGGGCTTGATGGGAGCTGGAAAAGAGAACGAGTATTATGTCGCCTGGCTGGTTGTCAGTAGGGAATGATGAACAGAGCTGTGTCGCTTTGAGTAGCTCCCCTCGGTTTTCATCTCTGAACTGGAAATCTGTAAGCCTGCCAGATTGCTGAGATTGAGGACAAGGCCGGCTGGCTGGCTAGTCCCCAACAAGCAGCTTGAAGCGTTGGTAACCAAGCAGGCATGGCACGTACTGTCATCTGTCCAGCTGGAAAGCTGTCTTTCCAGGCTTATGTGGCCTTCCAGCGTGCTAGGGCGGAAACCGGTTTTAAAGCCTTGCCAGAGTTCCTAGCAAGAGTCCAGGCGTGTGTCCTTAAATTGATGATTTCAAAGCTGGTCAAAGAGCAAAAGTTGTGAACTTGCACAGTGAATTACTGTTATAAAGAAGGAGCCATGGGGTTGGTTTTTTTTACGCTTCTCTCACCGTACTCTTTTGGTAAGGATCCTGAATTCCTTAGGTCAAACTCTCTCCTTGTTTACGTGGTGCGTGGGCCAGTGAGGTCTTACCTCCTCACAGATCAGGCTGTGATTACAAACAGGCTGCTTAATAACTTGCGAGGAAATGGTTCTATTTGGGAGAAGAATCCAATTTTTCAGCGACAGGGAGCGAGGTGATTGCTGCCTGTAAATATGCTAGGGAGAGGGAGGGCCAACAATGGCTGAAGATCCATGTGGGAAGGCAGTGTTGACATAAGCTTAAGAGGTGAACTGGCCTTGAATGGGCTTAATCTGACAGTTGGCTGCTGGGTTGTGTAGGAGGCAAGTACTGGAGTGGCCTTGTAGTAGGTGTAGTTGGGACCAAACTCCAACTGGACTGAGAATGAAACTTGACTGTGCGGTGTGTGGGAGTGTAAGACATGACTGCTTTTGCTGGCGGCGGGTTGTACCCTGTGACCTGACTTGTCGTCTCGGTGCTGTATTCCTTTGTGCCACCTTCAGTTTTAGAGAAGGATTGTCCCTCTTTGCTTATAAAAAGCATTTTACCTCACCTCGTCTCCTTCCTGATTTGCAGTGCTGAGAACACTGCTGAGATTATCCCTGGAGTGGCGGGAGGGGCAGGGTTTAGCGCTGTTGAAACTCATCAACAGTTGAGGTGGCAGTTGATACAACGGTTAGGTAGCTCCGTGATGCTTACTGTATGCTCAGAGAACTTTGCTTGCTGAAGCCTGCAGCACGTGAGCTCAGTTTTTGTTACTTTTGAAAGCCAGCCATATCCTGGGCTGTATCCAGAGCAGTGTGGCCAGCAGGTCGAGGGAGGGGATTCTGCCCCTGTACTCTGCTGTTGTGAGACCTCACCTGGAGTGCTGCGTCCAGCTGTGGAGCACTCAACATCAGAAGGATATTGACCACTTGGAGCGAGTCCAGAGGAGGCCACGGAGATGCTCAGAGGGCTGGAGCCCCTCTGCTATGGGGACAGGCTGAGAGAGTTGGGGGTGTTCAGCCTGGAGAAGAGAAGGCTCCGGGTAGACCTTATTGCCCCTTCCCCTGCCTGGCGGGCTACAAGGAAGCTGGGGGGGACTTTTTACAAGGGTCTGTAGTGACAGGACAAGGGTTAACGGATTTAGGTTGGATATCAGGAAGAAGCTCTTCCCAGAGAGGGTGGTGAGGCACTGGGACAGGTTGCCCAGAGAGGCTGTGGATGCCCTATCCCTGGAAGTGTCCAAGGCCAGGCTGGATGAGGCTTGGCGCAACCTGGTCTAGTGGAGGGTGTCCCTGCCCATGGCAGGGGGCGTGGAACTGGATGATCTTTAAGGTCCCTTTCAACTGAAATGATTCTATGAATCTATGATTTTATACGTAGAGCAAATGTTGTCGAAGTGTCAGCCTTAGCTCTGTTTGCTCTGTCATGGAAAAGTGGAATTGCCGAAGAGGAGAGGGTCAGAGCAGGTAAAAAACCAGCTCCAAAACAATCAGAGTGTGATCACAGCCAACATGAGACCTCCACAGATGCTCTCGGAGGAATTGCACTTTTCCCTCTGCTCCTTTCTTCTTCCCTTCCAAGGATTCCTAAGCAGAAGCAAGCCAATGGGGAAGCATGCAGCTGGCCACGGAGTCATGTTCACACTGGTGGAGCAGTCGGATCTGCAGGTTGAGAAGGGAGGATTGAAAAGTTGATTGACCGGAAATGGATGATTAATCGCATCCCTGTAATTATCTTGTCCAAACGAGTCTCTCCAGTGGACTTTTTGTTTTCCTCCTGCATTGCCTTTCCTGATTGGGAAGAGTGTCCAGAGTTGCTAATCATTGATGGAGAGATGTGGGTGGATATGTGGAGGGCACGTGCTCTTTGAGCAGTTGAGCTCAGTGATTTCTGTTGTTGTCTTGTCCCACAAAACAGAACTAACATTTCCAAATTACTTCTGGAGGGTTGGAAAGTCACAAATCCGTTTAAAAAAGGAGTATTTTTTGAAAGGGATACTGTGCTTTCTGTCTCTGAAGGCCCTGCTGTAGCTGGTGCTTCAGGCTGCCACAGTAACGGGTGAGGCTGTAAACTGCAGAGATGGCTGAACCATGGAGGGTGCAGTGCTGGGAATTATCTTTAAATTGATCTGTTCAGGGTGTGATGACGGCTTTTTCTACTGAGAAGGCTTCTGGTTTACTCGATTCAACTTCTGCAGTGTTGAAAACCGAAAGAAATGTACTTTTTTCTCAATTTCATCACGGCCATTTCTGAAAAGGAGCGTGTCTTAGTGCCAGGTCCCTGCACACTGCATTAACTAACCTGATTCTAGCAGCTGGGACTGCTTGTTCAATGTATTGGTGCCTGGTGATGGTCCCTGAAGGGAGGTGGAGCTTGCTGGTGTTTCTGAAGAGGGCATCTGTAGCTATGCTGTGTAGGGGGAAAAAACCCCAAAAGTTTGTCTGTGCTTGTCGGTGAGACAATTCCAGTTCCTTTGTGCTCAGATTTCCATGACACGTTGCAGAACAGCGCTTTATGGGACTAATACTCGGCTGCTCGGCGTGGGAAAAGCAGCACAGCAACACATTTGCACCGGTCCCGGGGCTTTCGGTGGCTGGGGGGGGATCCCTGCACTGTCCTGCCCTGTGGCATGTGGATGTCTCCCTAAGCAGGGTATCTGGAGAGCAGTCCCCTGCTTCCTCTTTTGAAGGTTTTTGGTGTGTTTAACAAACGCTAAAATGAAACGTGTCTCTTTAGGTTTTGGAATGTTAAATCAGATGGAGCAGCTTGCGTTATTTACAGGAGTTGCCTTGATTTGAGGCATGTGGGCTGTAATTCTCCTTAGTTTAAACATGGGCATAAACCCACTAACAACACCCGTGAGGGGCGTGTGTGTGCAGGATGCCTTTTGCCTTAAATTGCACCGAGAGATGTTCCAGGTTTTTAAGCAGTTTAAAATGAATCACTTTCAGCAGCGGATGGATGCTTCCCATTTCTCACTAATTACTACTTTTGCTCTTAATTTTAATTGTGTTACGCAAGAGCAAAGAGACAGGAATTGGGGATTTTTTTTTTTTTTTGGCTCCCAGGAGATTCTAATAGTGTTCTTGCAATGATTTGGAAGGACTGAGTTCAGCACGTAGAGGAGGAATGGGGGTGGTGGTGGTTTGTTTTTGTCTGTTGTGTGCATATGTTCCTGTTCACGAGGTGCTTTGTTTTGCAGTTCTGGCACAGTGGATTTCCCCTCTAATTTGGGGAGAAATCACTGCTTTTATGCAAGCTTCAGTCATTTCAGGGTTTTTTTTTTTTTGTAGTTTTTTGAACTTTAAAAGGAAAGGATGGCTTTGAAGTGCAGGGGAAGACTGTGTGGAGGGTGCACACGTGTATTTGATGTCAATCTCTCTGCGCTTACTCTGTGTCTGGGACAGGGGAGAGGCAAAATCAGCCCATGCAAACCTAAGCCTCCTGCAGAAACTGTCTTATCTCTTCCTCCCAAATTCTGGGGCTTCCAAACTTTGTGGCAGAGCTGGCTGCACGTTTGAAATGACTTTACCAGTGAAATGGGAGTGATGCGTCCTGGGGAGGGTGTGAGGTGTGCCTTAAACTCTGCAGCTCAGTCAGGTTTTATCTGTAGTGATGAGCGGGTCACCTTGAGAGACAACTAGCAGGATTTACAGCCTGCAAGTTTACAGGGGCTTTATGAGTCTGCCGCTGCGTTATGACCATGCGGTGGATTGGGGTGTATTTTTACTCTGATACTAGAAATAAACTGTAGTTTGTTTTCTTATTCATGGAGTGGTTTAGCTCAGTGAAACTTCGGGTCAGCTTTGTCTCCAGGGTCTGCATGGATGTGTTTTCTAAGGTGAAAACACAAAACAAAACCCAAAGGGGCTCTTTTTATGTCTGATGCTCTGACAGCAATGTATGAATGGTGTGGCCAAAGAAATCCTGGAGTAGGGACCGAACTTCTTATTGCTGTTTTAATGTTGACATTCCAGAGCACTGGGATTTGGAGGGAGGGAGCTATGGAAGGGATATACCAAATTTAGAAAGCAGGAGGAATATTTTCTTCCCTGTGCTTTCTCCTTTCCCCTCCCATTTGGAAAATAATAAATGAAGAACAAAGGTCTGTTTGCTTGCCTCTTTCCACACACTTTGCCTGGCTTTTGAAGATAGCGCAGGGTTGGAAAGCTGCTTAAAACAATGCCTGTTTCCAGTCCCTTTTCCCCCTGGCATCACTCGAGCCTGTGGACTTTCATTTGGAGGAGAGGAAAAAAAATACTCACGCGAGCCATCGGCGAGTGCTGAATCACTGCGTGTTGGCCGGGTGCCGCAGGCGGTGGGGAAGTTGTATCCTGTGACAGTGATTCAAGCCCTGGCTATAGCTGGATGAGTTTGCTGTTGATAGCTAAGCTGTCAGAGCTTCCTGTGAAGGAGCAGACTCCCTCTGCAGGTATAAACCCTCTGGGCCAAAAGGGTTTTGGGTGTTGCAGCGGTGCCACGCTGAAGGTGCTGCTGTAGGTCAAGCTGCTCTGTGGTGGGGATAGTGGTGTGTTGATACTGGTGGGACGATTTAGGAGGCTTCTCTGGCTGAAGTTCAGCTTTTTGGGTGGATTTTCAGCTGCCTGAGTAAGCTTTCTGTGTGGTTATCTCCATGCCGGTCTTGGTGCCGAGGAGGAGGAGCGGTCCTGGATGCTGTTCCTTAACCTGCGTCTGGCCAACTGCTGAAAAGAGCCTCTGACCTCCCAAAAACTGTGTCTGGCTCAGCATTTCCATGCAGGTGATAAGCCAGACTTTGAAGAAAGGTTTCTCGTGTGTAAGGGGAATATGTTGGTGCCTTGGTGGAAAGCTCGGAAATGGGAATAAGACCGTACAGAGGCTGCTCTTTGAAGAGCAGAATATCTAGGTGAGAGTAGAGTGTAGGGACTGTTTGCTCAACAGGGAGCGGGCCTGGTGGCACAAAGTGTCTGGTGTTCTGTAACGTGAATCCCCAGATCCCCAAATCATGCTTAGCAAAGTTTTCACAATCACTGCATTATTGTAAGCAATGTTGAAAGCAATGTTACAAGTATGCCATAATCCTGGTCCTCTTCTCCTACCCGGCAGCAGGAAGGCAATCCATGTTATACCAGCTGTTATTTTACCCAAAGGTAGTAACAACTGCACAGATCCTTTCATAAGAAGGATTGAGAAGTGAATGACACAGCCCATAAAATGCTTAGGACATTGTGTTCCTGCCACGCATCTATTTGCTTCACAATAAACGCAACGATTTCTTTATCCACTGTGAGGCTCTGTTAGGGTTTATCTGCGGCAGCTGTTGCTTTTAAACTACCAAAACAGCAGAAATTGTCTGTGGTGTGACAGTCACTTCCACATTGCTTGTGGTGGCAGCTGCTGCTGGCATGGATCATGTTAGAAACAAATGTGGCAGGGGGTTTTATGTGCCTGTGAACTTTGTTCCTTGTCTCTGTACTTAATGTTTAGTCACTGTCACGCAGTCACACTATTCTTTACATTTTGGGGGTTTGTAGCTGTGTCAGCTGAGGGGAAAAAAAAAAAAGGAAAACCCAGACTAGCAGATGTCATCAGGCATGCAAATGTGATTGCATCCCTCTTTTCAAAGAGGTTAAAAGGGGAAGTTGTAGTTGGGTCAGCAGATCTGGGGGTCAGAAGCACTCCTCCCTAAGTGCTGTAAGTAGCTTTTGATTCTGCTCTTTCACCTGCACTTCTGGATACCGGTCCCAGGTACCAGCTGTCCTTATGGCTCACCCAGCCTAGCAGTTGGCCAGTCCTGCAGGCTGCTTGAAAAAGCAACCTCATGTTTTACTAGGTTAAAATTTGGCTTTGAAAGGTTTGCGTCCCCTGCGTGTCAGAGCTTACAAAGGCTGGCTGACAAGAGACAGTCCTCCCACATGTGAAAGGCTGCAAGAATTGGGCTTTTTCAGCCTGGAGAAGAGGAGGCTCCGAGGAGACCTTATAGCACCTTCCAGTGCCTGAAGGGGGCTACAAGGAAGCTGGGGGGGACTTTTCCCAAGGGCCTGTAGTGACAGGACAAGGGGTAATGGGTACAAATTGAAAACAGGGAGGTTTAGGTTAGAGATCAGGAAGAAATTCTTCATGGAGAGGGTGGTGAGTCACTGGAACAGGTTGCCCAGAGAAGCTGTCGATGCCCCGTCCCTGGATGTCTTCAAGGCCAGGCTGGATGAGGCTTGGAGCAACCTGGTCTAGTGGAAGGTGTCCCTGCCCATGGCAGGGGGGGTGGAACTAGATGATCTTTAAGGTCCCTTCCAACCCAAACCATTCTAGGATTCTATGAATTTCTTCCCCTAAAGAGTTCCACTGACATGTTTGCAACAGCTCTTGAGTTCTGGTGTGCAAGAGTGAACTCGATGGAACAGCTTGTGCTGCCTGTCCCTTCCTCTCTTCCACCTCCTGGTGTGAACCCTCTTGTTTTCCTCTGGTCAGGGTAAAGAGGGCTGGGACAACATGGGAAGTGGGTTGTGTGGATACTGAGGGGCTTACCAGGCAGTGTAATGCAGAAATTCCTCCTGGTGTAAAATTTCTTGGGTCTTTGAGGATTTACAGGTTCTGGCCTGGTGTTGACCAGACCTGGGCTGGCCTCTGCAGAGAGAAGGTGGGAGAGAGCTCTGTGCTTTGCAGTGCTGCAGGTTCTGGGGAAGCTCTTGTAGCTCAGGAGCAACACCAATCCTGCGCTGGCCTCGTGCCTCAGCGAGGCACTGCTCCAGGCCGAGTAAACCCTGCTGGACTTCAGTTAACTTCATACAGAATCAACTTTGTTGTTTCCGTATACGTGGCATAATTAATCTGTAATCCAGATAAACGATCCCCGGGTAATCAAGAGCTAAATGTCTACCTGTAGTTTCAGGAGGTGCGGTCATGTTTGCCAGCTAGTGATTATGCAGTATGGTCCCCTCTTGGCAGGCTTTTGAGTTTGGTAGTTTTTATTTGTTTTCCCTCCCCCCCCTTAAATAGAGGAGTCAACATTTATTTTAAATGAAGTCAAAAAAGCTACCTTGAGCTGTTCAGCAGCTTCTGCTGCCCTCAAAACCTGGGTTTTCCTGTACATCTCTAGCCTCTGAAGCATCTCTGCCCAGAGATGCTGTGGCAGCATTGCTTTTTCGCTTTCCTCTTCAGCAACTCCCGTGTAAGCAGCTGTTTTTCTTGTTTGCTTCTTTTCTTGGCGACAGATGACATCTGGGGGGACTGAGAGCATTCTGATGGCCTGCAAGGCGTACCGCGACCTGGCTTATGAGAGGGGCATCAAACACCCAGAAATGTGAGCAGTGATTCCACGGTTTGGTTTTTCGCTTTGGGAATTTGTGGGACTTGTACCTGTGAGTGGAGGTGGCTGCTAGACCCTAATATTCCTTTCTTTCGTGGCTCATTACCGCCTCCTCCTTGTCTATCTGTGTCTGCAGGAGAGAAAGCTGGGTTGAAAGAAGCGGTTCAAAAGCACAGGAACCTTTCAGCAGCCTGGGGGTGGCACGATATTGCCGGAGGGGCTGTGGTAGCTGTGCTGTGCAGATGTTTTTGGCAATACCTGCATGCTGGTTTAGACTGAGCCTGCTCGTTTCCGCTTTGGGCCCGTCTCAAGCGGGGATTGTCATGTCCTTTGAAGTGTTTAAGGGGTTTGATTTTATTCAGATCAAAGAGGGCTTAGCCTGAAAACTCCAGGACTAAAGTTGGGGCTGGTTGGAGCTGAAATGAGGAATTGTGCTAATCATTAGACCGCTAATAGAGGATTTGCTCTCTCTAATGCGCTGCTTTCTTTCTAGACGGTGCATCAAAAATGTTTCTCTGGTTAATTGCTTATGGGAGAGAGAACGTAAAGGGAGATGAAACGCTGTGGTGTTCATTTTCTGCTGAATTCCTGCGGTTCTTTTCTTCCCTCTAACGTTTTTGCATGCTATTAAAGCCCCCGATTAAGACGTGATGCCTCAGAAAACAAGATTAAGGCTGTTCGGCCACTTCTGTTAGAGATGGGAGACAGCAAATATTATGTTAATTTGGTGTATTTTCTTTGCTCTGTCCCTCCTGCTCAGGGCTTAGGTGCTGCCTGGGCTGACGTGTGCAACGTGTTACTTTTCCAGGTTGGTCCCGGTGAGCGCTCATGCAGCCTTTGACAAGGCGGCACATTACTTCGGGCTGAAGCTCATTCACATACCGCTGACCAAGGCCATGGAAGTGGATGTTCAGGTATTGCTTTGGGCAGCGTGGCACTCTTTTGGTGGGCAAATCAGCACTGTACAGCAAACAGCAAGAAATCTCCCTATCCAGGTAGCAAGTCGGTGGATAGAGAGGGATGAATGCTTCCTGGAAAAACGGCAGGAGTAAGCACCTGCCATTGCAGATAAGGTTTTGTTTGAAATAATTGGATGTAAACCATCCCTTTGTCCTGTGTGATTCACTTAAAATCAAATATGTGTTTCAGAAATAGCCCCAGATTTCAGTGTTCTAGTATTTCCAAGTGGATGAGTTAAATGACTCTGTCGTCTGATGCTCGTAGCTCGATGCTTTGCTTTCTATGGCTTTTGTGTGTTGGCTTTTAAGACCAGGCGCTGCATGTTTCGCTCTTTATCTTTTTTGGCAGGGTGGCACTTGGTAAATGGAATGTGAGCATCTTCTCTCTTTAAATCTTCAGGCAATGAGGAGAGCTATCTCGAAGAACACAGCCATGCTGGTCTGTTCTGCTCCTCAGTTCCCACATGGAATTATGGACCCGATTGAAGAGGTGGCAGAGGTAGGGACCCTCTGGGAGTTCAGGGTGCTGTAGCAATAAAACCAGCATGTCTTTCTGTACAAGAGGAGCAGCTTTGTCTCTGAACTCTCACATCCCTGCCATAAACTTCTGCTGTAACGGCATGTATGTGTTGTCTACGTGACTTAGAGCTCAGGAGCACCCACTGTGAGACCAACCAGAAGGGCTCGTTCTTTGATATCCGGGAGGAAGTAAGAATAAAAACAGTCCACCTGGTAAAAAGGCTTTGATCTGGGGCCTCCTGGTTGTAGCAAACTTGGTGCGGAAGTCAGAGGAATGCGTGGAGAGAGGGAGTAGGAGTCAAAGAGCTGGGATCTTATTTCTCAAACATGCCTCTGATTTTTCTTCCTGTACTCCAGTTATTTATTTTATATGTAACCAGACAGGGCCTCTGACCTTCTTTTCATTTGGATCATGCCCTCGCACTTTATTGCAGACACTCAGACCAAGTTGTCACATCTCTTTGGCAAATACAGCAAACTGCCAACATGCGATGTTGTTTTTGCTCTTGCTGGCAATCTTCAAATATGTGGAAGGCAGGAGAAGGCATCCTACAAGTAGCCAGCCTTTCCATATTCTCCTATCCTCAACAGCTTGAGGGTGGCATGATGCTCTGAAAGGGTCCAGGAAACATTTAATTGAGAGATGCAGAGTACCTTTTGGTGACTGGACTTTAGGTGCCCTGACTGCATGTTTTTCTTGCCTGATTGCATGTTCCTCACCAGAATCTCTTGTTCACACACAGCTTGCGCTGAACTACAAAATTCCCTTCCACGTCGATGCCTGCCTAGGTGGATTTCTCATTGCTTTCATGGACAAGGCAGGATTCCCTCTAAAGCATCCCTTTGACTTCCGTGTAAAGGGCGTGACCAGCATTTCTGCTGATACCCACAAGGTAAGAAGGAGAGGAGGAAGGTCTTCCAGCCCTTTCATTCTGGGGGAACAAATCCTGATGCCATCCATGTCTTCAGACATTTCTGCTCTGTGGAGGAGTGCTGAAGTGCAGGGGTAAGGGTCACCCCATTCAGATGCTTTGGGCAATGTGCCGAAGTAGGGACAAGTGGGATGTGGTGACTGCACGCAGGGAGTGTTTGAATGAGTCCCTGTGCCCTCCTGCTGCTTTCTGATGCTTTCTGTGCCCCTTGCAGTATGGCTACGCTCCCAAGGGCTCCTCGGTGGTGCTGTACAGCGACAGGAAGTACAGGAGCTACCAGTTCTTTGTAGCACCCGACTGGCAAGGGGGCATATACGCGTCCCCCTCTGTGGCAGGCTCCAGGCCCGGTGGAATCATAGCTGCCTGCTGGGCAACTCTGTTGCACATCGGGGAATCGGGCTACGTTGAGGCTACGAAGAGGATCATTAAAACGGCTCGTTTCCTTGAATCAGAGTACGTGTGTGCCTTTTGATCACGCTCTTTAACCTCGTTCTGGACTCCTCCCAAACTGCTTTTGTTTCTCTCGCAGCTTCCCTCCTGTCCCCCTCAGGTTCCCTCCCTGGCCCAGAGATGCTATAGCATGTTGCCTGCTGGGTGGGAATCCAGCGGGCAGTTAAGGGGGGGGGAAGATGCTTTGTTTATGGCCAGGTTGCTGCTCTGTGCCAGAGAGCAGAGAGGCACAGAGGGGGAAGGGGTGCAGGCATCTCTTGCTGGGGGGCTTGTGTTGCTATGTGAGCTGATAAGCTGATCATCTCTGCCACTCTGCCTTCCCTCTCCTCGCTGTCCTCCCTCTTTCCCATTTCTTCCTGAGTGTACTTTAGGGTCTCTAATGCCCTGAGTCCTCTTGCATGTCCCAATGGCCTGGGCTGGTGGCGTGATTTTTTTGGTAGGGATGTGCTGTCATATCTCCACATGGGCCAGATGTTCTGTTCATCTCTGTAACCCTGGTCACTCACTTCTTTTCTCTTTTTAAGGTTGAGAAAAATTGACAGCATCTTCATTTTTGGGAAACCGGAGGTGTCTGTCCTCTCCATTGGTTCGGAGATTTTCGACATTTATCGATTATCTAATCTCTTAGCTGCAAAAGGATGGAACTTAAATGTCCTACAGTTCCCATCAAGGTGAGTGGAGTGACGTGCCTAGCCGGGGTATGCAAGCTGGTCATCTTCAGGGTACGTAGCTCTCTTGATTTGCCAGGTGGTGTTGTCCATGGCTGATAAAGTCTACACACCATTTTCCTCTGCAGAGAAGGAATTACTTTTGTAAATGTTGATACATAGCAGTTACTGCAGTGAGGATAAGGTAATAATAAGGGGGCTGGAGCCCCTCTGCTATGGGGACAGGCTGAGAGAGTTGGGCTTGTTCAGCCTGGAAAAGGGAAGGCTCTGGGGAGACCTTATAGCACCTTCCAGTGCCTGAAGGGGCTACAAGGAAGCTGGGGGGGACTTTTTACAAGGGTCTGTAGTGACAGGACAAGGGGTAACGGGGTTAAATTGAAAGTGGGGAGGTTTAGATTAGATAGCAGGAAGAAGTTCTTCCTGGGGAGGGTGGGGAGGCACTGGGACAGGTTGCCCAGAGAAGCTGTGGATGCCCCATCCCTGGAAGTGTTCAAGGCCAGGCTGGATGAGGCTTGGAGCAACCCGGTCTAGGGGAAGGTGTCCCTGCCCATGGCAGGGGGGTTGGAACTGGATGATCTTTAAGGTCCCTTTCAACCCAAACCATTCTGGGATTCTATAGTTTTAGTGAGCCTGGAAGAGGACATATCTGAGGCTCCCTTTCTATTTACCTCTGTCTAATACAAGCAGAAAAATGTAAACAGCCAGGGCTTTATCTCATGTTAGTTGAGGGTTAGTGGTCAGCCCTTTGCTGTTCTTTCAGTGATCTTTCCAACCTGGTGTAAAATGAACGTTTGACAGTTTCCTTGAGTGGGTAGTTGTTTTTTCTGCGGGTAAAAGGGGCAAATGCTCTCACATGTAGCCACACTGAAAACATTTTGGATTTTCAGTTAGCATGCTGTCTTAAAGAGCCTGAAGTGACAGCTCAGAGGTGTGAGTAGCCCTGTTCCTTCTGGTGGATGCTACCTTCCACACTGTGGGTGGCTGATGGCCTATCTAAGCTGGAGAGGAAGGGGAAGGAAATGATCTGAGGGTCACCCTGTTTGCAGGCACATTGCTCACCAGAGGTACCTGCAATGAGCTGAGAAAATTACAGACCTTTTCCCAAGTACAGTGAAGTCAGGGGTGGAAAAAAGAAGAGCTGAACTTTCCAGAGTTTGGTTCCGCAAGTATTTTGTAGGGATTACCTGTAACTGGAAGGGAGAGGATCGTCATCTCCCGTGAAACTGCTGAAATGGGATTTTAAGGAGATACGCAGTTGTCACTGGCCAGGGAAGTACTACGTTGCTGTTGGTTGCTCAGAAAATGTGGAGCTGTACGCTTGAGGTGGTTAATCTTTCCCCTCTCCCCTGCCTGCCCAGCATTCACCTCTGCATTACGCAGTTGCACACGAAGCCCGGTGTTGCGGAGCAATTCCTGAAGGATGTCAAGGACAGCGTCGAGGAGATCATGAAGGACCTCAGTGCCAAGACCACAGGCTTGGTAAGGAGGTAGCGAGGGTGTGTTCGGGATGTTTCTCTGGTGGCATTGATGATCCTATGTAACGACCTCCTCTTCTCTGCTTAGGGAGCCATCTATGGAATGGCCCAGTCCGTCCCAGACAGGAGCTTGGTAGCGGAGATTTCTCAGGCGTACTTGGACGGCCTCTACAGCACGGATGTTCCTTGCAGTGAAAAGCATATGAACGGCTCTCCTGGCCACCACTGACTGTAGTGCAACAATCTGTGCCTTGCCAACAAGCACTGGGGTGGTTCTAAAGGTTTCCTAGGGGAAGAGATTGCAGTAAGCCTTTGTTCCTACAATTGCAGGTCTGATGGCGGCTTGATCTTAAACTTCCTTCCCTGTCGTATTCTGTTCAGAAATCTGCCCAGTTTTAGTTTTAGGGCTTTTCTTCCCTCCCCTCCTGCATTTTTTTCATCATGACTATTGGTGGTGAATTGAATGTCCATTCCACAACTCCAAATTCCTCAGGTATCCTACGTGTCACTTCATTCCTCACCGTTTCCTCTCCTCAGACCTGGTATTCAGCCGGTGTCCAGCCAGGTGTTATTTGAGTTCTCGTGTTGCGTTCCAAAGCTTCAATCTTCCCAGAAGCTGAAGGTAGAAAATAAATTGAGTATTTTGTTTTGAGTATTCCTCCAAGCTACTGCATTTAACAGACTGTGCTGGGAGCCTTCTGTCTGTGTAGTGCAGAGCCGATAAATTGGCAAAGGAAAGATGGTCGTGTACTCTTTTTGAAATCTTCTCTGGAGATCTCAGCGAGACTGCAATCAATATCTGCTGAGGGGGGGGAAAAGCCCACAAACCAACAACACAAAATCCTTTTCTGGAATCTCTTGGTTTGAATAACAGCGGAAATAGACACCAGGCGGGTGGCGTAGGGAGAGGAACTGGACGGTACTGAAAATTCTCGGTACGTAGTGACTGTTTTGCTTCCTTGCCTCTTCTGGAAGGTGTGCGTTTAGCACCCGGGGTGCTTTTGTTGTACCTTGCACAGTTCAGGAGGAGCGTGCAAAGCGGCGATTTCGCTCTTCAGTAACTTGAAGGTTTTGCCCTGTCTTGCAGTGCGAGAGTCCGTCGGGCGTGTGTCGCGGCTGGGGACCTCGTGCAGACGGATGGCGCCAAAGCTGACCTCTTTTTACCACGATCTTTTAGTATAACAAGGTGACTTTTGTAATAGTAGTAACCTCTGCTCTTTGCACTGATTTCTTTTAAGGCACACTCTCAAAAGGGCATTCACCGTTGTGCCTTGACGCTTCTCTGGCTTTGTTTTGTGGGACGCCAGGGAGGGTTTGAGGGTCCGGCTGCTGACTGCAGCGTTTCCTTATGGTACTATACTGAAGAAAACCTCAAAGGCAGGCTTGCCTACAAGGTAGAACAGTTGTATTGAGCCAAGTCCCCTTCACAGTATTACAAAGATGCTGATAGAGCTCTGAGAGGTAGATGATAGGATGCAGCGAGCTGGAGGTATTCAAGCCGTGGGTGCATGGCTCACCCTTCTGATTTTTCTATGCTGTTTTTATGGTGAGAATATTTTCCCAGTGCAGCTTGTGAGGCTGTTGTGGCCTTAAGGACAAGCTAGAACCTCTTGAGTTGTTAACCAGTGGTGGAGTTACTCCTGCAGGGCTTTCCCATGTGTTTCCTCTCAGCTCTTCGCCTGCTATCGAGAGCTTCCCGGGTGGAGTTCGGCACTGGGGAGGAGACTCCGTGCCACGTTTGCGGAGTCTTATGCAGGGCTTCTGACGGCATCTGCCTCTCTGCTGTAGTGGGCTTGTTAGCCCTAAGCTGACCCTCGCCGGTTTAACACAGCTAAAGCACACGTTTGCACAATAATTACAGCAAAGGAGGAGGTTACTTACTAGCCCCTGCGTGCACTGGTGCAGCCTTGGGCCCGGTGTTTGTGGGAAGGATACTTGCTTTTTAACAGGTTTATTCTCACTGCTTGGAGACAAAAGTATTTTGGCCATCTGCCATTGATGACTTTTGTGTATGCCTCTCAGCTCTCTCAAACATCACGTTTGAATCGCCTGATAGTCTCTTGGTGATGTTAGCAGCTCTGGCAGTCAACATTTACGTGGGGCCTGTTCTGTCATCGTCTTGCCAACGTGACCGTTGCTGCATCTCTGAGATTGCTGTGCTTTGGAGACAGTCTTGAGCGTCTGGCTACTGTGATGGTTCTCTTTTTGAACTGAGATTTAAAAAAAAAAACTACAAAGGGAGGTACTCTTTTTGTTTCTGCTTTAAAAGAAAGAGGGGATGGGTTGGGGTGGGGTGAAGGAGAGAGAAACTCTTTACCTCCCTGGTTGCATCCTCCTCCGAGGGAGTAGATGGATCTAACAGATCAGTGCTCCATTTCATTTTTTGGATGTGTTAGAAGATGTTATTTGTAAGTCAGTGTATTCCATTCTGGGCTTCACTGGTAATATTTGTGGATTTAATTGTTTTGTGTGTATTTGTTCTATACTGTAAATGTAATCTTCTGGTCAGGAATAGGCCACTGTAATTTCCCGGTGTGTAGTCTTTATTTATCCTTGTCATCTAACGTGTAATCTGCATCTCCTCCATCGTGCCAAAATGGTCTTAGAAAAAAATGGTGTGATTAACAGGCTGTATAATTACTTAAAAGACAAAAAGGAAGAATTTATGGACTGGATTATGATCTGAAACTGAATGGTACTTTAGACCTGGAGGGATCGTTGCAACTGTTAATTCCTGTGAGATTTCTGACTGCCAGGTTTTCCAAGTGAGACTCTAAATGTGTTGCTTGTACAAAGCATTCCCAAGGGATTTGCATGCTCTTAGGTACTAGACTGAAGAATATCCAGTGGGATGGACCAAGAAGAGATGTGTGTCTTCATGCCATGGATTTCATCTGCACTTTTCTGATGACTTGGAAGGGGGGGAGGGAGTGGAAGGGTTGCGTGCAACACGATAATACCTTGCCCAATAAATACACATTGACTTTTTAATGAACAAATGGGACGAGTTTATCTGATGGCAGTATTCTGTATTGCTCTAACTTGCTGCTGCAACACTGTAGGCTGAAATAGCTGAAGACATGGTGAAAACGGGCCTAGTTTGTATTAAAATGGTGCATTTAGTGATCTAGGCTCATTGAACTCTTATTTTCCTGTTTCAGTGCTCATTTTCATGAATGTGGGGACCTGTTGCTCCTGGTCTTTGCCCATGCACAGCCTAACCTGTGGCAGGGAGGATGGTTTAATGCATCTTACTGACTCTGCCTGAGGGCTGCCCTTTCATTCTGTCAAGGGAAAGGTGGTGTCCGTGGCTACATCTTGCCTGTGGTGGTCAAGGATGCTGAAAATTGTCACTTAAGAGCTATGGATTTTCTTTTAATGCTTTATAGAATTTTTAAAGGAGTAAAAAAAAAAAAAAGACAAACCTGAAATGGGTGTTTGTAGTGTTTCTCCCAGACTGTGCTCCTGAAAGCAACTGCTGTTGGTTTCACGGCAAATTGTTCCCGTTACACTCAAAAGGCAGTGATTTGGCTGCGGACTCGTTGGATGCAGAGATGGTTGCGTTACTGGAGTGAAATCTCACACCACCAGATCCACCTGTAACCACTTTTGGGGGGGGGCTACCCCACTGTAAGCAGCCCCCGGCTAGTCGCTGAGCTGCTTTTGTGCCTTGGCTGCGATACACTTCTGACTTTAGCATGTGTAGTTTTTATCTGATCTGCCCTGGCTTTGATAATCTCATTCTCTTTCAGACCCTGTGCACTTGGAGGTGCAGGCCTGCAAAGGCACGTACCATTTCTCGGTGTTGCTTCATCAGGAAGCTTTTCTGTGGCAGAAGCACCTTCTTGAGAGCAGTCAGGCCAGTACCTGCCTTGGGGAAAAAAACCTGTTGGCGTAATTTTGAGTGAGGCCTCCTTCCAAACTGACATCAGGTTAACAAAGTCCTTTATTGTAAACACTTTAAGTTGGTATCCTGCTGGAGGCTGGTTACAATAGGGGTGAGAACACATGCCTGCTTTATAATACTGCTAGAGAGAGGTTACAGCAATAACCAAATTGCACGACACAGTTGCCGGTATGTTCTAGGGAAACCACAAGGCTGATGTACCGTGTTTTAGGGAAAAAGCATGTTCCAGTAGGTAAGAAGCAGTAACATGGGCTGGATGGGGTCAGACTCTGGAAAGATTAACTGCTGCGGTTGTGTAACACGGCTCCTGGTAAAAGGGCACGTCTGCTGAAAGCCCTGGAGGGGCAGCAGTTTGCAGGCCGGTAGCTGCAAAGGAAGGGTTTCAGAACGGAAGTGGTGAGATCAGAGATGGATACATGCATGGTGCCCAAACAGTGCCTCCGTCCATCTGAATTTGGCACAGCATTGGGTAGCCTGGATCCAGGAACTAGCTTGGGTGTGGGAGAAGGCTGTAGGTGCAGCTGTCCAGGCAAGACACAGGTTGTGGCAGCGGCACAGTTGATTTTTTTTTTTTCTTCTTGGCTTCCCATGTCTCTGATCAGGAGAGGGAAGATGCAACCTGCTCGATGAAGCTGGCCAAGTTGATGTCTCGCTCCGATAAGCCTCCACACTCGTGGGTGCTCAAGGTGATGTGGACCTAAAACCAGACAGACAGACCAACCGAGTGTTGCTGGCAGAAAGAGAAGGAATGCTTTCCCTGCAGCGCTGCAGACAGTTGGCATCTGATGAGGCAGGTAGTGTTACTCCTTTCTCCAGACTTGTTAGCTAAATTTCCCGGGGTGGGAGCATTGGTCTGGCCCCTGGCCTGGGTTTCTCCTTCCTACAGCTCCTTCTGGCTGCAAGCTGTCACTGCTACCCCTGCCTTGGTCACAGCAGCTGGCTGTGCCCACTTTTCACCTCTTTCTCCTCACTTTTCCCCTTGCTGCTACTTCTGGTATTGATTTTAAAAAGGCAGCCCTGGTACCAGCCTGCAGGGAGCTATAGCTTAGCTGGATCGGTAAAAAAAAAAAAGGAAGGTGTAGGGGTAACTGTGGCCTGTCTGGGATATGCCACGGTCCTGAACAGGACTTGCTGCTCCTGGTTTATGCCTCAGAACTGGGACCTGCTCCCTGAAGAGCTTGAGTTCCCCCCACCGTCCCTGTTTTCTTACCTTATTGTACACATTGAACCATTCAGGGTGGTGATCCAGTTTTTCTGCCTGTAGAGCCACTCTGGTCATGAAGCCAAAGGCCTGCCCAGCGGAGTAAGAAGAAGAGTTAGTTCTGAACCACTTACCCTATGATGCATTGTTTTTCACCCCATTACTCTTAATTTCACACTGCCTTTTTTCTAGGTAACCCAGTCAAATGCAAGGCCTGGGATGTTCTGTGTCTTTGTTGGGGTTTTCTATGGGTTTTCCTCTTTTTGGGGAACTTTTCCCAGACAAACCGAGTGCTTTGGTGTCTTGGGAAGGTTATGCTCAGCCATTACATTTCAGGAGAGGTTTCTTTTGGGTGAGCCTTGCAGATGGGACTCCCTTCCCTGCAAACCAGGTCTCCCGCGTTGTAACACTACCACCGATGCTCCTACCCGGTTGAAGTCCTTGAAGTGGAACTCTTTGAAGATGGCATCTCTGCCTTCCACCTCGTTCCACCCCACAGCTCTCAGGTTTGGCAGAAGCTGCTCCCTCTCCTCCGAGCTCAGCCTGTGTGCTTTTCCCGCCTGACACCGCAGAGAGGAAAGAGAAGAGGAGCGGATCAGCATGGCAGAGGTAGGATGATGATCAAAGGAGCAACCCTTCCCATGGGCCGTGGAGTTCTGGGTTCAAGAGGGCAGCTGCAGACCAGGAGGGAGGGTTAGAGTGTGTGTGCGTACCTGCTGCTGTCCTCTGCTCCCTGCCCTGGGAACATCCTGCGCGTGCCTAGGCCAAGTGAAGTCCAGCTTGTCACTCTTGCCCTCTGACCTGCAACGCCTACCCCTTCAGCAGCGTCTGTCTGTATTCATTGTAACCCGAGGCACTAAGGAATGATGGCTGTCTGAGTTAACCTCCCAAATACATTACATACAGCTTTCTGGAAAAAAACACCCTGAAACCCTGTGATGGCTTCTAGAAGTGAGAATTGCTTGCTTTTGAGGTTTTTGAAGTACCTTCCCGAAGCAGGAGGACTTTTATTTGCAGGTCATCTGTACTGGAAGCCTGCTTTAGAGGAGAACAAGTGCTGTGAATCAGAGATGAGTCACGCTAAATTGGAGTTCAGCTCCTTTTCCTTTTCAATCTCCCTTATGTTAGGATGGCGTTTAAGAGGCTCTTTCTGCCTTTATCAAAGGGCAGAGCGGAGGGATTGTGATTTCACATCATCTTTCCCTCTTGGGCAGAGCTGCTGTTGTTTGGTTTTTAAGGGAGGGCTGGGGGGAAGCAGTGGTACTTCGCTTTGGGGAGTGAATGCAGGCAGAGATGAAACTATAAAACGGAGTCTTTGGGGATGAGGCCTACCTGAGCCAGCGTAACTCTGGCTCAGTGGGGAAGGCAGGAGCGAGGGCGGAGGGGTATTGCTCTACTGTAAGATTATGCTCTGACAATTCAAATTCTTTCCTAGTGGATGATCTGATCTTTAAGTCAGTGAGGATTGTTGTTTCTCCATGACAAAGACCAATATCCCTTTGCAATTTGCTTTCCTTTATGTGCTGTAGAGTAAAGCGTGGCAAGTGTTTGATACGAGTCCCACCAAATATGGTCCATGCTTACTTGTGGGTATTTGCTCAGCTGTTTTAACATGCTACTTCCGAGCAACCATGCCTGAGCAAAGCATCTCAAGAGCTACCGACCAAAGGCAGCAAATCATCCTTCCCTATGGTTCACCTACTTGCCGGCTGTACAAAAAAAGAGGCAGCCACGGAGCTGATGTTTTTTTTTGTGGGTTCTTTGGTTTTGTGTGTTTTGAGGAAGGCTGGGAATACTACGCCCTACTCCCATGTTGCTGGGTCTGTAAGCCGTGGGGCTGTGTGGGTACCTGTCTGCGTAGCCGTGGCTGTGATGCTTAGAGAAGGCTGTCGGCTGCAGAGCACTTCGTGGAGAGTGCCGAGGTGCGTGCCAAACCTTAGCTCTGGGATGGCTGGGCGTGGGATGCTTCCCATCCCCCTGGCATCGCAGCCGCACGCTCTCCCTCTTGCACAATGTCTGGGGACAGCCTTCCTCACCCGTGCATGCTCCAGCCTCGCCTCTAGCGTACAAGCCGCTCATGCTGTCCTTCAGTTTGTGCGGTGGATTGGATGGCCCCTTGCCAGCCCTGGCTCCACCACCACCCTCCTCCCCCCTCCCTGACTAATGTCAACCCCGTCCCTTCCCCAGCTCCGGGTTTGGAGGGAAGGTAGCAAGTAAACACGGCTTAGCGCAATAAACCCTCAGCCGTTGCCCTTCCGTGCTGATGGCGTGATAAGCTGGGTGCGGGTAGCTTAGCAACTGGATAACGTGGGGATGGAGGTTGGCTCTGCGTGGGGCCGCTGGCAGGGGGGCACCTGGGGGGACTCTGGTGGCTGTGGGCTAGGTGCTGCACCAGGGGCTGAAAGCTCCTGCTTGTGTATCGGTGCTAAAGAGGGGAAAGGCTGCGTAAAGCCGGAGCTGCGGGTTGCCTGGAGCAGAGGGGTATGGATGCAGGAGGCTGAAGCTGAGTCAGTCTCCCCCAGATAGAGCAAGAAAGCAGGCTGTTTGGAAGGGATGCAGCTTAATTGTTCTCTGAACCCATTTCTGCGTCACAGCTACGCGAGAGGATGAGCCTCGGGGTTTTTTCCAGGCCCAGCTCCTCTCAGAGAGCCCAGCGCCAGCGGGGAGGCATGGTCAGGCTGAAGTTGGGCCAACAGACCACACAAAAGCCATCTCCTCTGCCTGTATCTTGTGGGGGCAGACCCTCTGCCTGGAGAATCCCCAGTACCCTCCACCCTGCTCCCTTCCCTCCTCCCTCTGCCCCAGTGCGTTGGCCAGGCCGCTGGTTTCGTTGGTGTGGCGCGTTAGTAATGCTTTCATGTGCGCTTAGTCTTTTAAAACACATTTTTCTCATTAGGGAAATATAATTATTTTGGGTTTTTTTGCTGGTTCTCAACTGCCAAGGCATTGGGATTTTATTTTTGCCAGCGGGAAAACCAAGCGGATGTGTTGTGCAACCGAGGCAGAGGGACCAGCGTGAGAAATTGGGAGAGCTTTGGGCTTTCTGGAGACGAAACCACCCAAACTAACATCTTCCTTTCAAGGGTGACTTGTCCCCTGGGGAAGGTAACGCTGGGGGTGGGACACGACGCAGCCCTGGCGCGAGCAGGACTGGGATCAGGTATGCCACGAGGCCCACGTCTTATCGTGGAAAAGTGGGT